ATGGAATTGAAGTTTTTTTTTTTTCCAGTGATGCATGCTGTTTTCTTGATGTGCACAGACATAAATACTTGTCTTTAATTTTAGGTTACATGGGTTGCATTCAGAGCTGTGCACATTTTGGACTAATCTGATTTTTTAAAAAAAAAAAAACAAAAGGATTTAGCAGATAACCAGGAAATTCAACTACAATCTCACTAAGAAATTTGAAACTACCACAAAGAAGTTTTTTAAAATAGATTGTCCAAAGCACATCAGCATTTGATTCAGTTCCTTGCCAAAATGTTGGAGGAATTAAAAAACAAACAACAAACATGCAAAAAGTTGTCTTCAGTTGTTTAAAACTATGCTGTGTTCAGTGTAACCTTCTGGTATGAAATTAGTTAAAAGATATTGATTTGGTGTTGTTTGCAAAAAAGTGAGTTTTATTGTGAAATACCATTTCTTCTTCGTCTTCTTCTTCTTCTTCTTCGTTTTAATTAAATCAACCTTAATATACAACCATAATTATTTTCTTTTTTTATAATACTATAATTTACTGTGTCACTATATATTTAATTATTTGAGTAAAAAAATATTTGTTTCATAAATCCAACCAATTATATATCTATGTGTTTGTAAATAGATATACATTGATGAGTTAAAATATTATGATCAGCAACATGTAGCAAAAATGACAGCTAATATCTAGTAAGAATTGCAAATTTAGGTTCAGAGGAGTGTCAGCAGTTAAGCTGACTTCAAGTACTTAAGATCAGCTTAATTGCTGACCAAATACTTCTTTTTGATGTATTGAATGCCACAGTTATAGGCAAAAAGAAAGATTTGAGTGACTTTGATAAAGGCCAAATTGTTAATACTCAAAGATGAGGTAAGAGCATTTCCAAAATGGCACAACTTGTGAGGTACTCATGTTCATTTGTAGTTAGAACTTATTAGCAGTGATCAAAGGAAAAAAAAGTCACCACCTTGCAACAAGGGACTGCATATCCAATATTTATTGATGTAAAAGGTAGACAGAGGCTTTCTCACAAAGAAGAAGTCAAAAGAAGAACTATTGCAGAAGAAATTGCAGATAACTGTAATCAAGACAAAGGAAGCAATGCATCTCAGTATGCAATGCAGAAATCCTTATTTTTTATTGAGCTGTTTAACTGTAGACTAGTCAGAATACTCATGCCAATCAATCTTCAGAAGCATGTAAACAACAAAACTGGATGTTGTATCAATGGAACTTCACATGGTCCAATGAGAATTTCTTTCTCTTGAATGGAGAGGGTGTATAGATGCATTATTATCTTGAGAAATTTATGGTGCCAGGAAACACTGAGAACACAAGTCCATGATAGCAGTGTTAGAGCTTAAGCAATGTTCTGCTGGGAAACAGTGAACTTTATCATTCATGGAGAAGGTACTTGGTCACATACTATAAACCTCAACATCATTGAAAGTCCAGTATACTCTTTCAACAGTCTTCTGTGATGGTAGTTTTATCTTTCAGCAGGAAAATGCATCCTATCATACTCTACACAGTTTGTATGAGAATGGTAACAGGAATACTAAGAAGAGTTTATTGTTTTGCTTTTATCACCAAACTCCCCAGATCTTAAAATTATTGAGTAATTATGAGATTGTGTTGTTCTTGAATATTTCCAAATTGGAAATAAAAATCAACTGCCATTTTTCTTTCAATGTCTTCTTCAAAACAAATATCACAGTAAAATTTTGTTTTCCTTTTCCCTAATTTCTTCTTAATATTCACTAGTCTATTTTTTCAAAATTGAACAAATTTTATTTTCCCTTAAGAATTATAAATTATCAATTCATAACAGAATACAACAGGACAGCTTTGTTATTCTAAAAGATTTTGCTCACACATTAACTGTAGGTTATTGTATGGAAAGTAAGAAAAAATCACTATTTTAATTCATATATAAACAAACCAAAATAGTGTGAATGTTTTTAAAACATTCAACTGTTATAATAATTTTATTCAGTCAATATCCTAAAGAAGTGAATCTTTAAGTTGCCTCAAAAATTATCACAAAGGTGATAACTATGATAAGATAAAGAACAAATATGAAACATTTATCAACCTAACATGTTTCACTTTTATTAAAGCTTCATCAGAGACTTAGATACTGAGAAAAAGAGGAAGAAATTCTAGTATTTTTACTTTTCTGTCGTCTGATTTTCATTAGTCAATCATGTTCCACATGATTCAACTCTTTTAAAGCAACATTAGTATAATTTGTGGCATTCTGAATTCAAGGAGAGATGACATAGAGTAGGCAGAAGTTAGCTATGATAACCAAAGTCATTTAATTAACCAAATTTTAACCTTTTGTTTATGTAATTTTTTAGTCTTAAGTATTTGCTTCCATAATATCTATAATTCTGATTACTTATTATGCACTACAAACTCTATTCTTAAATAAAACTATAGGTAATATGATTAGATTAAGCTTAGCTACATAACTTACAAAGAAGAAAACAATTTTTTTATCAGAGTGAGCAATAGCCATTTTATTTTTTTTTGGTACTGAAGTTATTTAATTCTTAACTAAACAACTTAGCAATAAGTAGGGATTCTGTTGCTTACTAACTTTTCAGGCACCAAACAGTATTCTTGAGTATCTTTTCTGTCTCAATTAACATCTTAAAATTATTTTCTAGCTTGTTGCACTTTATAATAATTACTAAAATATATGGGACTTAAAACAATTTGAAATTTTTCTGCCTATTTTTATTACTATCTTTGGTAGAAACATCAATACTTAAACCTTGTTCTCTGATCATAGAATCTTTTTTCTTTTATATGCCAAATCCCTTTTAGGACATAAGCGATCATAGCTCTCAACTTCCTCCTATCCTTTGTAGTTCTCAATATGTTTTGTCCTTTTTCTACTTCTCCCAAACCCTGTTCTGTCATCCACTTGCTTAAGCAAGCTAGGTATGTCCCACATTGCTTTCCCTTGTTTCTCTCTCCCACTATCCACCCTGTGAGTATCAGATTCTCCAAGCCCTCCTTTCTCATTACATGTCCCAAAAATTTCAGCTGCCTTTTCTTGATGTTAAGTATAAACTTCCTCCTTGTTTGCATCCTCTCCAAAATCTCATCATTGCTCATATGTTCAATATTGTCGTAAATGTCTAATTGTCAATACTATAAGTGGAATGAGGAAATGTTTAAGTGACAGCTAAATTTAATGTGGAATCTAATCATTTCTGTTCCCATCTGGTTTTCATTCCTATAGAATTATTATTCAAATCCAAAATTCTGTACAACTTACTTTAATTTTCTGTCTCATCAGTTATTAAATATTACAGATAATCAACACTTATAATATATTTTTATGATTATAGTATAGATGTAGATAGCATTTTAGAAACTAAATCACAATGTCTTATTTGTTAGATTCCTGTCTGAAATTCTGGGATGAGGAGTTATCATTATTTACACTATTCATATTTGGACTATTGTCCTCATCTAAATTGTTGTTATCACAATGTTTCAGCTATTGTACCCTCCAGCCTTCATCAGGTGTATATCAATCTGGGTAACCTACAGAGAATTCTGAACTGAACTTTATTTAATCTACATTCTACTGTTGATGTCTAGGGATATTGTCTCTTAGAACTAGACAATATCCCTAGACATGAGCAGTAGAACAAGAACTGTCTACCCCTGTAGATTAAATAAAAGCTTCATTTCAGATATAAATAGTATAAGTATTGTAGGATTTTCTTCATATATTTACAAAATGTTTATAGAATATTTTGATTTTAAATAAAATGAATACTGTATATACTCATGTATCATGTGACCTTTAAAGACTTAATTTTGAATCTAAATTAACTACAGTAAATGGTATATAGTTTGGTCAATGGTGTAGCCATGGCTAGCAGTACATATATCTAACTATATGAAAACTTAATTTTGTAATCATTTTCATAAATTCAACTCTAAAATGTTAAAAATTTATTATTTTCAGTTTACTTTTTCAAGTATGAATAAGCTTTTAATTTAAAGCAATATGAAGTAGCTTAGTATTCTGCTCAACAATTTTGAATTGCTGTCATTTTAAAAAGATCTATCAAAACATGTTTCATGAAATTTTAATTTGTAAATATGTTAGCCTAATTTTTAAAGATGATTACTCAAGTATCATTTTTATTAATATATTGATAAATATATTTCATTAATAAATAATTCAGTCAGTTATTTTTTTGAATGTTTTTACCAAACGTATTCAGAATAAAATTTCATTAATACTGTAAATAAAAATGCTCAAGTTTTTCACATGAATAAATTTGATAGAAATTTTTGTTTTAAAATAAATATGCAATCACAAGTATTGTAGTGTTATTTAGTTCATGATTTTTATTTTATGTCTGTTCAAACTTATGACTATGAATTGTGTATCAATATCAAAAGGTAGGAATGAGACTGAATTTCTAAAATTAAATATTCTAGATTTCCACGTTATTAAATGAATTGGAAATTACCCACCTATTAATAGATGAGTTTATGATACATCAACATCTGCAAGGATTCTGATAAGCCATTACTTCTGAAATAACATTGAAAAAAATTGAGAAGTATATATCCAATTTGAAGGTCAAGTGATACATAAAACCTTCTACATATGAGACTATAAGTACTCTTTCAACAGAAGTTCTAACTTCAGTCCCATTTAACTGTCCAATATAAATAAGTAAATTATTGAAAATCTTTCAAGATGTATCAATATCAAGGAGAGGCGGACAAGAATACACTACTCCTGTCTCTTCTATTTAGAAATGATGACCAAATATTCGGTAAAGTTTTTAATAGTATTTGTAGAAGACAAAAAAAGAGTAATATTGAAAACTTAGCAAATAATAAATTCATTTTTGTTTGCATCATTATTTCCTCTTCTTTTATTTGTCTTTTCTTCCCTGAGGTTTAATGCCTATTTTGCTTATAACTGAATTTTTTATCATTTCTTCTTTTTGAACAGGTATATAATACATTACGCAAACACAAACACAAGCCCCATGTGGACGAATTACGGGAAATTATGGCAAAGCCTCATTTTCAGGTAAGGATTCTGATTCTTATCTTCCAAATTTCAGACATTTCTACTTAGTATTTAATGTCTTCATTTTCAGTATAAGGTAGAGGTTTATGAATTCAAATACAAACTAGATTGAACATGTCTACTGAATGAGACAGTTACATCAACTTCCTATCAAAACAATAGCCAGTGTTTGAGTCCACAGAAATGTTAGAATTTTAAAGGTTGAATGTGAAGACCAGCTTCTCTTTTAAGAAATTAGCACAACACAATCTATCATTATTTTTCCTAATTTTTGTTAGTTCTAAACTCAAGATCCAAGCCAGGTTTTAGTCAGTAACACTCATCTATGTATACCAATTCTTTTTTTCTTAAATGCCCAGCCATTTTGATCTTTCTAATGATGTTTACTGACATTTTGATTGCACCTCATTATAAATTGATGGAAGTTAAAATATAACAAAAGAAATTGTTTATTGGGTGTTGGGATAAGTAGACATTTAACCAAATTATGGACATCAGAATAATGGTGCTATTTATTTATTAAGAAGCACTTAACATAGACTAGGAAATCTGCTATTCATATAATGTTAGTAAAATCAACATAACTAAGTTCACTGTCAGTAAATCTCTATTATACCAAGCCTTCCTTGTCCAGATTATTGTTAAAAAATAATTTAATTTTCAAAGGGACTGATGAAACTCATGGATTATATGACTTGAATATTTTCTAATGCAACACAAGGTGCCATTTTCATGGATAATTTAAATCAAATTTTGGTCGATTTTACTTGTAAACAAAAACCAAGAAAAGAAAATATGATAAAGAAAATTAATTATTTATATATCCATTAAATATTAGAAAAACTGAACAAAACTATAAATAATTTATTTTATAACAAAGATATTTGCAGTTATGATAGAAATTATCAATGAATTGAATGGGTATCAATACATTAACAGGTTTTTACTTGAGAAAAAGATAAAATTCAGAAATTATCAAATTAATTTAATATTTCTCCAAACATATTCTGCAAGTTGAATAGATCAAATGACATAACTTTCCTATCTTACTTGGCAAAATACTTGTGTTCCTAAGCACCGGGATTAAATGTTTCAGATTACCTCCAAAATGGCCTGATTGCAAATTTAATCTGTATATCAATTTCAAATGTTTTTGCTTAGTTTTCATTTTATTTTTTTATATACAAATTCTATTAATGTGAAAATTTTCTGATATCTAAACAGCATTTTAAAAGCTTATGCTACTTTTAATATACAGTGGGGAAAATAAGTATTTCATCCCCTGCTGATTTTCTGAGTTTGCCACCTTACAAAAATAGGAATGGTCTATAATTTTCAGGGTAGGTCCATCTTGAAAGTGAGAGATAGAATATAAAAAAATTCTAGAAAATCACACTATATTAATTTTTGAACATTTCTTTCTTTTTTATTATATTTCACCCCCATAACAAAACATAACTCAGTATTTGGTGAAAGAACCCTTGTTGGCAAGCATAGCAGCCAGATGTTTCCTGTAGTTGGTTACCAAGTTTTTACAGATCCCAGCAGGGGTTTCGGCCCACTCCTCTTTGAAGATCCTCTGCAAATCCTTGAGGTTTGTAGGTTGTTGTTGGGGAACTTGAAGCTTCAGCTCCTTCCACAGATTCTCTAAAGGATTAAGGTCCAGAGACTGACTAGGCCATTCCATTTCATTAATGTGCTTCTTCTTGGGACTGTCCTTTGTTGCCTTAGCCATATGCTTTGTGTCATTGCTATGCTGGAACGACCATCCATGACTCATCTTCAGCGTCCTGGCTGAGGCAATGAGGTTTTCACTCAAGATTTTCCTGTACTTGGACCCATCCATCTTTCCCTTGGTTTAGTCGTTCTGTACCCTTAGTAAAGAAACAGCCCCAAAGCATAATGTTTCTACCACCATGCTTAATGGTTGGGATGGTATTCTTGAGATCCAAGTAAGTTTTTTTTTACTCCAAACACGGTGAGTTGAGTTGATGAAAAAAGCTCAATTTTAGTCTCGTCTGACTACAGCACCTTCTCCTAACCCTCCTCTGAATCATCCCAGTGCTCATTTGCAAACTTCTGATGGGCCTGTACATGTGTCTTCTTGAGTAGGGAGACCTTGCGGGCACTACATGATTTCAGTCCACTATGACGTAGTGTGTTACTAATGGTGATCTTGGTGACTGTGGTCCCAACTGCCTTGAGTTCATCAACAAGCACTTGCAATAACAACTATGCTAAGCATAAATCCATATCCATATATATATATATATATATATATATATATATATATGGATATATACATATATATATATATATTTAAATTTTTGATTTTAAAAAGAGAAAAATTTTTAATTCAGTATTTACACATCTTCACTGCTTCCCTTTGGTGTATAATTATAACTGATGCTTGTATTTATATCCCCATTCTTACACATATATAATTCCATCAATGAAAAACATTACTTTAGTCTGATAAAGTCCTTCTCAAGTACGAAATGCATTACACAGAATTTTTCCATTTTGTCATTCAGCTGCCTAATATTTTACTGATATCTAGAAATTTATATATCATATTCTCCTATATATATATATATATATATATATATATATTAGCTGAATTACCCACACCTTGCTGTGTGTCATACATTTTTTTTGTAAAGAAATGATGATTGATTTTAAATAATTGTTAAGAAAAATGATGTTTTTCAATATTACTCAATGATCTTGCTGATGTAACTTCCATCTTCTTGCTTTCTCCTTCTATATTTTGGCTAGGAGTCATTCCTTTGTTCAAATTTAAATTTAATTTATATCAAAGGGAAAAAATTTTCTGTGGGGAGTTTGTACCCCCGGGAAACCCCCTTTTTTCAAAATGATCTTGACAATGTGATATTCAATAATATATATACATGATATGTAATAAGTTTAGTAAAACATGTTACCTAATGGAGAAAAATGGGAGTCGAAATATTACATTAATCTTCAAAAATGAGGGGGGCATGCCTGCTTTAAAATTCAGTATTTCAAACTTAAGCATCAACCACAAGTTGTAAATATGCAACTGTCTCAACCATGAACGTATTAAGTCAACCATAGTTTTGCGCAAGACACATCTCAAATTAACTTGGGGGCATCTATTGAGGAACAAACTGACGTACACTAGCAAAATGGTCTGTGAGACACACACTTATTAGTGGGGTAGCATCAGTTCTGAGTATGTATGTATGAGCACATTTTTTATTGGCGACAGGGTTGGGTAAGGGGTTTAATAAAAATTCGCTTCTTCAACAGATATTCCTTTTATTTTAAGTCTTATCATTTTGCTTTAGGGAGAATTCTATCTCAACAAAATAAATCTCTTCAGATCCCATGTGATAACAATTTGGAATAATTTTGTTTTTCTTTAACATCTATTTTGATATTTTAAATGTTTGGTCTGACAGTAAATAGAATTGTATGAAAATTTTATTTACTTTTGCAATCTACAGTAACCTTCAATAATTTGAGTGGAGGTGGGGTAATTTTAATTTTATTTAGCAATCATTTACCAAATATTGAAAACGGAATATGTCCTAAAGATGCAGGAATGCATAGAGATTAGCAGATAATCAGGTTGCTTATTTTTCTTTTATAGAAATGATAAAAGCAAAATGTGGAACTAGTATTCTATAATGAGTGATGTATTTCTGCCTAGACATTTTTAAGCCAATGTCATTTTATGGAATAGAGCAAGGTAGAAATATGTAACAGCATAATTGCTACATTCATATGTTTGCTTTATATAAAGAATTTTACATTTCTTGATTGTTTAAAGAATTATAATCAGAAGGATGTAGAGAGATACAAACATTTTTATTAACAAGGATTCTTATTTTAAAATTATGTGCAAAACTCAAGATTCAAATTTGTTAAACTGTTTATATCATAATTGTTTTATAGATAAAAGACCTTGCTGTTACATCTTTTTTGACCTGAGCTATGAATATTATAGAAGTTAACAAGGTTTCATACTTGAGTGCATTTTAGGGAAATGTGAACGCTCAATATATAAACAAAGAAGATAGAAGCATACAAAACTTGAGTTTCTACTATGGACATGTATTCTTTTTATGGTGACTGTAGTGTAACAAAGTCCTCAATGTCTCTTGTGTATGTCCAATTTCTTTTTCAATTCAGAAGTAAGTTAGTATAACAATCATTAAAATGGTTGAGCTCAAGTTACCTTTTTGCAGAATTGTAATGACCAAGATAAAGTTTCTACTTACTTTGTCACTGGGAGATTTAAACATGGTTATGGAATGCTTGTTTTCTTTTTCTTGGTCCAGAATTTAGGGTAAGTCAGTGCAAGCATCATTACTATGGGTGTGCTCAAGTCAGCCTTGCACTGAGTTGGAACAACTTGACTTCATTAAGTGGAGGTTTTGGAAGAAACAGGCAATCATCAAGCATTGGAAAGTAGGAAGAGAGTTTAGTTGTCAGTGTACTGGGGAAACTAACATTTCCCAGTGGGAACATAATTACCACATGGTTCACATCTTGGAGCAAAATGGAGAAAGAGAATGAGACAGGAAATGTTTGCCTTTTTATGGACTTCAAAAATGCCACCTAATTACAATTGATGGAACAAAATGGTGTAAACATATTTCTAGTTCCTTTACTCTTAGCATCATGGGAAAAAGTATTTCCTTTTTTATTATTCATTATTACTATTTTATTTATTAAATTTATTTAATTTTCTCCACAATATCCATGACTTTCATTTTTGAAAACAGTATTGTTGACATGTAAGTTTTAAGAGAACAAAAATCAACTACCTCCATCAGATTGAGCAGAGTTATTTTCTCTTTGTGGAATCTGCTGCCATGAAAGAACTGAACAATTGCTAATACCAATGATGACCTCTTTAGCTGTACTGTATAATATTTTCAGAAACAGCAAAGTTTTAGATTTTTCCCTACCAATATGTTAATAATGATTATGCTATTAACAGGTTTTGT